TACAAAAAAAAAAAAAAAGCCACGCATGGGGGCACATGCCTGTAGTCCCAGATACTCCAGAGGCTGAGGAGGAAGGATTGCCTGAGCCTAGGAGGTCAAGACTGCAGTGAGCTGTAATCATGCCACTGTACTCCAGCCTGGGTGACAAAGTGAGACCCTGACTCAAAAAAAAAAAGTGCCAGCCAGGCTTAGTGGCTCATACCTGTAATCCCAGCATTTTTGGGAAGCGGAGGCAAAAAGATTGCCCAGGGAATAAGACCTGTTTCCTGATCTTAAGAAACTAAGCCCAGGGAATCGAGACCAGCCTGGGCAACGTGGCAGGACCTCATCTCTACAATAAATCAAAAAATTAGCCAGATGTGGTGGTGCATGCCTGTGATTTCAGCTACTTGGAAGGCTGAAGTGGAACGATCACCTGGGCCTAACAGATGGAGGGTACGATGGCCATGAGCATGCCACTGCACTCCAGCCTGGGTGATAGTGACATGCCAGCTCAAAAACAAAAAAAGTGCCACTGCATTTTGTTTGTTTATTTTGGTTTTAGTTTTTTTTTTTGTAGTTAGAGTCTCACTCTGTCATCCAAGCTGGAGTGCAGTGGCGTACATACTAATGGCCAATGTAGCCTTGACCTGCTGGCCTCAAGTGACCCTTCCTCCTCAGCCTTCCAAGTAGCTGGAACTATAAGTGTGAGCTACCATGCCTGGGTAATTTTTTGATTTATTGTAGAGATGAGGTCTCGCCAAGTTGCCCAGGTTGGTCTCGAACCCCTCAGCTCAGGCACTCCTCTCACCTCTGCCTACCAAAGTGCTAGGATAACAGGTGTGAGCCACCAGGCTGGCAGCACATGTTTAACAATGAATATTCATGATGGCTGTCCCCACAGTGAGCTATGTGTCTCTCATAGCCACCCCCATCCCTCTTAGTTTCTCAAGATCAGGAACAAGGTCTTGTTCGTCTGGAGGCCCACAGCATATAGTAGCTCCTGAATAAACATTTGCTGAATGGATGAGCTACAGGAATAATCTTTCTCTTAACTCTGCATATATCATTTGGTTGTGAGTTTGAGGTAGAAAAATCAACCAAGAGCTTTTCCCACAGCACCGCAGCAGTTAACCCAGCTTCCTCCCAGGAGCTGCACATCAGAACAGAGCTTCAAGACCTTGTCAGATAAAGGAGGCCTTTCTGGAGCAGAGCTACCCTGCAAGTGTTTTGCATAACAATACGCCCACGGAGTTTAACTGAGCACTTTTCCACAATTCCTTATGGATTCATTCAACTGACAGCTTGGCACCAGCATATTGATGCCTGTTTTCCATCCAACACAAACTGTACGACTGCCTCATGTTTATCCACCCTGTGAATTTCTAAGCAACTATGTAAAAACAAAGAGTTCAGAAAACAAAGAAAGATGCTGGGTTGAGTTATTTTACCAAAAAAAAAAAAACAATAATAAGTGTCTCCTTTCCGCCCCCTCCCACTCTAATCGGCTATATATTTAGTTTTTGGTTGTTTCTCTTTGTTCAAAGATTTTGAGTTGCAACAGCTTCTTTTTGCTTATTAATGAAGGCTGAGCTCTAAGTAGGGTATGGAGTTATGTGCCTGTAGTCCTAGATATTTGGAGGCTGGAGTGGAAGGATAGCCTGAGACCAGGAGGTCGAAGCTGCAGTGAGCGGGGATTGCACCACTACCCTCCAGCCTGGGTGATACAGTGAGATGCCGACTCAAAAAAAAAGAAAAAAATTATCACTTGAGGCCAATAGTTTGAGGCCAGCTTGGGCAACATAGTGAGACCCCCCCCAATCTCAAAAAATAAATAAATAGATACTTTAAAAATAAAAAAGGCTGTGTTCTAGGTCAATATCATTCAAAGTGCTGGTCCTCAGGAAGATTAAGAGCTGGCAGCAGAACGCAGTTCAGTGCCTTGCTTCCTTCTTCAAAAAGTCTTTCAATAGAAAAAAAGCTCCACCTCATCTCAACTGTGTGGTTAGTGCAGAAGCTGATCTCCTCTGGGGCAGGTAACAAAGAGTTCAAAGACAGGCCCAGCTAATGATCACAGCTCAAGAAGTATTGTTCCTGGTTATAGAACTCCCCACTGCCTGAACACCTACTAGAATGACATTTACAATGGACTACTGAGAGGTTTTGGCCATCTCGTGTCCACACCCCCCCATTTTTGGTAAAGCACCCCAATATTGAAGATCCATGACACATCTTGTCAGTCTATGGGATCTGGGTGAGGATTCTGCCAACTAGGGCTTTGAGTCTCTCCAGCCACAATGAACGGTTCAGGGAAGCCATGATCCAGGCTGGCCAGTCAACATAATTCCGTTCTCCTGGCTAGTTTTCAAATCAGGGATGGGCAGTGGCCCTGACTGACACAGAGTGAAGCCTGGGACGCCTGCAGGAGTTCCCAAGAAGATAAACCCTTTCCATTAAGGTAGTGAAGATGTAAGCCTGGCATGAACGACACCCATGAGGAAAGGGCCTGGCTGTGAAATGGAGCAAAGACAGAGAGCAGAACTGACAGAAGAAGAAATAAACTGGATTCTGAGCATGTCATTGGAACCTCTGGATCAAGCCATTCCTGAAGTTTCCACCCTTCAACTTTTCAACTATATGAACAGTAAATCTTCCTTCTGCTTAGACCGGTTTTTGAGCTTTCTAACTCTTGCAACTGAGTGTAAAGTTATACATGACTACTATACCCTGGGTTCACACTAAAATCCATATGCATGCATCTGAAAAGGCAAAAAGTGGGGAATCAGAAGGGATGCCAACTGTCTGAGATTAGAGTGACAGAGATCTGGGACTAAAGGTAGATGTCTGGCCTCCCAAAGTGCTGGGATTACAGGCATAAGCCACCGCACTGGGCTGCTGCTATTTTAGCAAGACTTTCCACACCTGTGTCTCTTCTCTGTCAGGTGATTACCATCTGCCTTACACATTATCTATCAGGTGATTGTGAGAATCCCATAAGAAAAAAAACAACAACAAGAGAGGACAAGCATGGTGGCTCACATCTGTAATCCCAACACTTTGGGAGGCAGAGGCAAGAAGACTGCCTGAGCCCAGGGGTTTGAGACCAGCCTGGGCAACTTGGTGAGACCTCGTCTCTACAATTAAAAAAAAATTAGCCGGGCATGGTGACGTGCGCCTGTAGTTCCAGCAACTTGGAAAGCTGAGGCAGAAGGATCGCCTAAGTCCACCAGGTCAAGGCTGTGGTAACATAACCATGCCACTGCACTCCAGCCTGGGTGACAGAGTGAGACTCCGACTCAAAAAACAAAAAAGAAATCACACTGGAAGCTCATGAAAATGTACTGTACAAACAAAAGATATTATTGTTATCATGAGCACAACACCTTATTCAGACTTCAAAAGTCTGGCATGCAAAGCTATCCAGAAACTAGAAAAAGATTTCAAAGACTCTGAGCAACACATTGTTTTTACCAAATCCTACAGTCTATGGTGCAGGAGAGAAAGTGCCCCCTGCAGGCCAAAGGGTGTAAGGTGGGGCTACAGGAGCCTGACAGAACTGGGCAGCAGGAAGCTGGGGCACGCCTTTGTCCTGGGAGGAGCTGTGTACTGTCGGTCAGTTCTCAGGCCCACCCAGGAAGTTTCCCCCCATTCTGTATTTCCCCCCCTCTACACAAGCTTATGAGTCACAAAGGAAAAACGATGATTTAATTTCCAAATGACATTCCCAACTGCTATTTTGCAACTCTGGAGTTGCTGTCCTAACAATAACACTGTTATCCAGTTAGCAGATTTTATGTTTGTTTTTACTGTTTTTATATCTGAGGTCTAAAGGACCAACATAACACATTTTACATAAAAAGATAACGTCATTTTGCAAATTGTGCATTTTTTGCAAAATTCAGAATATAAGCATTTTTTAATAGATGGAACATACAAAGGAAATAGAGCAAACAAAATTTTTTGACTTTAATTTTTTTAAGGTAAAAACAGTTGGTAGTCAGGGAACAAGACAACAAGTGGCATGAAAGCCATTTCTGATTTTTAAGCTGCCTTCTGTTAATAGTGGTTTTAATGAGTTCTTTTTGATGGCAAAATAGCTGTTTGGAGTTCCAGATAATATATCTGGAAGCAGATTTGCTCCTCACAGATCCTGCATCTGAGAAGCTCAATCCTGGGGGGAGGGGCAGGAGGGCAGAACAGACAGCTTGTTTTACTAGCGCCCTAGTGTCCCCATGTATACAGCATGGCTCTGTGCCAGGTGTTTGTATCCACGACCAAGCCCAGCAATCACGGGTCACATTAACAGTGGGCAGGGTTCTGTCCCTCAGAAGCAAAGAGTACGTTGGGTTCTCTCTCCCTGCTCTGTGGATGCATGCATCCAGGCAATGGGGTAGGAGGTGAAGAGAGGGAGGAGAAAAGAGGGGAAGGGAGGGGAGACACTACCAGCAGGGCCTGTCTAAGGCAGGTTCCACAAATGTCACTACTCTGTCTTCTGCTTCTCCTCCGTGCATCACACATTCCTGTCATCTGGTCATCTTCAACTCAGCGAAAGGGGGTAAGAGGTTGCATGTTGGCCTGAGGCCCAAGACTTGTTCTCCAATCTATACGCTTTTTTTAAAAAAATCAAGGTCTCGCTCTGTTGCCTAGACTGGAGTACAGTGGCACGATCATAGTGCACTGTAGCCTTGAACTCCTGGGCTCAAGCCATCTTCCCACTTCAGCCTCCCAAGTAGCTGGGACTACAGGTGTGTGCCACTATACCCAGCTAATTTTTTGATTTTTTTTTATAGAGACAAGGTCTTGCTATGTAGACTAGACTGGTCTCGAACTCCCCAGCTCAAGCAGTCCTCCTGTCTCGGCCTTCCAAAGTGCAAGGATTGACGGGCATGAGCCACCGTGCCCAACCTAGCTTACCATTATTAAAGCTAATACTTTGCCCCTTGTTGATCCGAGGTACAACATGTCAAACAGCGAAGAGGAAGAGGAGGGAGATTGTTCCCCCCTAACCCCCTAACACTTACCAGCCTGGACAAGGCTCTGGACCCAGCATAGATTATACCCACAAACAGCACTGAAGCAGGAAGCCACGTCAAAACATCAGATCTGGGAAGAGAAAAAAAGTCATGTTACTTTTCTCACTTTATGTTAAAACAGGCCTAGCTGGAAGGGTTATCCCTTCAGATGCACAAACTACAGCAGCAGGGGTTATCCAAACATCCCTGACAGACTCTATGTGAGATGTGGTCTTTATCCACTGACAGTGAAGAGGCAGACAAAACCATCCTACCTACAACCTGGTCACTTGTTGATGACCTAGCATGACTAATCCCAGAGGAGGAAATGGGAAAGGACTTGCTGTAGGTTGGGAGAGAGAACAGAGCTCACTGTTTTCAAGGGCAGAGAACATTATTCTTTGGAAGTAGCCAGAAATTTTAAAACCATGCCAAATTATTAAAAATTGAAAAGTCTATTTACCTAGGCAATATACTAAACAGTTCCATGGAATCACAACAAAGACAGCCACAGTATCAAAGGACTGAAATGAAAAAAAGAAAAATCTTAGAACTTCAGCTGAGCGGCCAAATGTTGGCTTCTTCAACTATTAACCTGACATTGTTTAATTCTGATTCAGGGAACCTTCTTTTCTTCTTCTTTTTTTTGAGTTGGCATCTCACTCTATTGCCCAGGCTGTAGGGCAGTGGCACACTCATGGTCACTGCAGCCTCAACCTGCTGGGCTCAGGTGATCTTTCTGCCTCAGCCTTCCAAGTAGCTGGACCCACAGACATGCGCCACCATGTCTGGCTAATTTTTTGATTTATTGTAGAGAAGAGGTCTCGCCAAGTTGCCCAGGCTGGTCTCAAACCCCGGGGCTCAGGCAATCCTCTCGCCTCCACTTCCCAAAGTGCTGGGATTACAGGTATGAGCCACCACACCCGGTTTAGGGAATCCTCAAGTACTTCCAAAGGGCATATTTCTATGATTCAGTTGTGACCAAATCAAGAACTGCTTTTCCATTACAGCTTAGAATCAAAATCCCAGGTCTCACAGGTAGTGCACATCACTGAGGTTTCAACCTGCTTCCCCCATCAGTTAGAAATGCATAGCATTTGATTTACTAATTCAAGCTCCCAGAGTTACCCTAATAATGAATACAAATACATGAATCCATTCCAGTAGGATATAACATAATAATCCCAACTAACTCAGTGAATTGCTGTCTTGGAATAAGACCTGCTCAAGAAATGGTCTTTGTAAATTTTATTAGCATGGGCAGGAACTCTATCCAAGATCAGACCTGATTTGTACAACTTCCCAGAGAACCGAGCATTAAATGTCTCCAGACTCTGGTGAAGGCCTTCAAACTTTACTTATTACATACATATGTGCTTTCTTTTTATTTTTTGAGTTGGAGTCTCATTTTGTCACCCAGCCTGGAGTGCAGTGGCAAGTTCACAGTCACCGCAGACTCAACCTGCTGGGCTTAGGCAACCCTTCCACCTTACCCAAGTAGCTGGAGCTACAGGCGCGTGCCACCATGCCTAGCTAATTTTTTGATTTATTATAGAGCCCCTGGACTCAGGCAATCCTTGCCTTGGCCTCCCAAAGTGCTAGGGTTACAGGCTTGAGCCACCATGCCCGGCCTTAAGTATTTGCTTTCATTCAGTGACTACAGCAACTTACAAGGTACTGAGAATTATTATTAACAGTAGCAACATAGCCAGGTGCAGTGGCTCACACCTGTCATCCCAGCAGTTTGGAAGGCCAAGGCAAGAGGACTGCTTGAGCCCAGGAGTTCAAGACTGGCCTGGACAACACAGCAAGACCCCATACCTTATTTAAAAAAAAAAAAAGAAAACAGTAACATCATAGTTAACATATACTAAGTACTTGTCACAAACCAGGCACTGTGCTAGATGTTTTATATGCTGTACCGTTTAAAAAACTATATAACAATCTTATGAGGAAGGTATTTGAAACAGTTTGGATTGCTGTCCCCTCCAAATCTCATGTTGAAATGTAATCCCTGGTGTTGGAGGCGGGGCCTGGTAGGAGGTGCTAGGGTCATGAGGTGGATCCCTCACGAATGGCTTGGTGCTGCTCTCCTGGTAATGAGTAAGTTCTCACTCTATTAGTTCACAGAGAGCTGGTAGTTTAAAAGAGCCTGGCACCTCCTAATTTCTTCTCTCACCATGTGACATGCCAGCTCCCCTTGTCTTCTGCTACAAGTAAAAGTTTCCTGAGGCCTCACCAGAAGCCAAGCAGATGCTGGTGCCATGCAGAACCGTGAGCCAAAATAAACCTCTTTTTAAAGTAAATTATGCAGCCTCAAGTATTCCTTTATAGCAATGCAAAACTGATGAATACAGTATTATTATTAGCCCACTGGGCAAATGAGAAAACCAAGGAACAAATAGTGTAAATAATTTGCCTGTGGTTAGAACAGCTGGTAAATGCAAAGCCAGAATTTGAATTCAGGTCTGTCTAGCTCTAAGTCCTAGCTGTTAAACATCCCTTTGTACTTTGCCTTCATGGACCACACCATCTTTTGTTGTTGTTGTTGTTGTTTTAGACAGGGTCTCACTCCATTGCCCAAACTGGAGTGCAGTTGTACAATCATGGTTCACTGCAGCCTCCAACTCTCAGGCTCAAGTCATCCTCCTGTGTCAGTCTCCAAAGTAGCTGGGAGTCCAGGTGCACATCTGGCTAATTTTTATATGTTTTTTTTGTAGAGACAAGGTCTCGCTTTTTTGCCCAGGCTGGTCTCAAACTCCCAGGCTCCAGTGATCCTCATGCCTCGTCCTCCCAAAGTGCTAGGATTTCAGGTATGAGCCACTGCACCCAGCCTACAGACCTTGAAGACTAATGGAAGACACTGACATACAAATAAATAAGCTGCAAACACAGCATGAGTTTGCTCTGGCAGCAGACCAAGCAGCTCATTAGCTGAGGAATGTTCTCTGTTATCACTAGTCATGCTGCCACAACAGGTGTCAGCACCCCAGCCAGAATGTGAACAGAGAAAGGAGGATACCATCCTCCATCATAATGGGGCAGGAATAACATTTGCCCATGGCCACACCTCTAGGAAATGACTTTTCCATTTGACATTAAGCTCACACTGATGGAGGGTGACAGAATTCAGCACCAGAAGGGCTCAGAGCACTGCTGCAGGCAAAGCTTGTGGAGGAAGGAGGATGTTCACTGGGCGGAATGGCAGCTGCCCTCACTGCGCCAGGCCCAGGGCTTTGGAATGTAAGGTCAGTGAGGCCCCAGACATCTGCACACTGTTCCCTCTTAAAACAAAGAAAACTGCCGAGTCAGATCTTCCAAGAGACTTCAGAGTATCCGAGTAGCCATGGATATAGGAAAAAGAAAACATGCCTAGGAAACGTTCCCATTTTAACCCTCCTTCCCTAAAATACAAATAAATAAGTTTTTTTTTTGAGTCAGGGTCTCACTGTGTCGCCCAGGTTGGAATGCAGTGACACGATCATGGCTCACCACAGCCTTGACCCTCCTGAGCTCAAGTGATCCTCCTGCATCAGCCTCCCAAGTAGTTGGAACTAAAGGGGTGTACCACCACACCAGGCTAATTTTTTGTAGAGAAGAGGTCTTGCTATGTTGCTCAGGCTGGTCTTGAACTCCTGGGCTCAGGCAATCCTCCTGCCTCGGCTTCCCAAAGTGCTGGGATTACAAGAATGAGCCAATGTGCCCAGTGTAGAAATAACTTTAACTAGAAAAAGACACACAGGTCTAGTTGGACCAAAGAGGCTTCTGGGAGATCTTGTAAGATGGCTGAGGGAGCACCTGGCTCCAAGCATGTGACCCCAACACAGACACTGGACCCTGGTGCTTGTGTTCTCCAGTCATCTCCTTCAGGGCCAATGGAGTCAAAGAAATATGCACCAATGGTCGTGCTTTACACACTGGCAGAAGTGCTGGTTGCAGAACCCTTTTGAGCCCTCCTGAGTGCTCATCAGTGATTTAGCTGCCTTCCTTCACCACATGCCAACATAAAACTATAACTGCTGTGTCTGTAACCCCAGTACTTAGGGAGGGTGAGGTGGGAGGATTGTTTGAGCCCAGGAGTTCGAGACTAGCCTGGGCAACATAGTGAGACCTCCATCTCTACAAAAAAATTAAAAAATTATTTTATACCCAAGACTTTGCCAAAGTCCTTTATCAGTGCAAGCAGGTTTTTGACAGATTCTCTTGGATTGTCGAGGTATAGGATCATATTGTCAGCAGAGAGGGATAAATGACTTTGCAGCAACTTGGATACATTTAGAGTCTATCATACTCAGTGATCTATCACAGAAACGAAGAACAGAGTACCGTATGTTCTCACTCGTAAGTGGACCTTGAACAATTATCATAATACTATAAGAAAGGGATTGGCAGTAGTGGGAAACTGCCAGGGGAGGGGGGTGGGATTGGCAATTGAGGGAAACTGCCAGGGAAGAGGGGGCACACCTCATCAACAAGGGAACCTGCATAATGTACATTTGTATAGCTAACCCTGAATTGTACCCCACATCTTTAAAATAAAATTTTTAAAAATAAATAAATAAAAAAAAATAAATTAACCATGCATGGTGACATGCCTATAGTCTCAGCTTCTCAGGAGAATCACTTGAGCCCAGAAACCTGAGACTGGTGAGCCATGATCCTGATATTGCACTCCAGCCTGGGTGACAAGGTGAAATCCTGACTCAAAAAAAGATTTTCTCACAAACTTATTCTTCATTGCTATGGTCTAAATGTTTGTGTTCCCCCAAATTTCTATGTTGAAACCCTAACCCCCAAGAGTATTAGGAGCAGGGTCTCTGGGAAGTGATCAGGCCATAAGGGCAGAGCCTTCATGAATGAGACAGACAAGTGTCCTTATAAAATAGAACCAAGGGAGTTAATTCATTCCTTGCACATGTGGAGACACAGTAGAAAGAGCCATCAATAAACCAGAAAGTGGGTCCTCGCCAGACACCAAATCTGCTGGTAACTCGATCTAGGACTTCTCAGTCTTCAGAACTGTGAGAAATAAGTTTCTTTCTCTTTCTTTTTAATTGCCAGAACACTTAATTCTTTTACATTTATTTTAAT